AAGTTGCTAATTGAAGTGAAGAATTTCCCATGCCTTCTCCTGGACTAAACAAGCTTTGCTTCTCTCTTTGCTAACTGTAGTAAATTTAAAATATGTAGCAAAAGTGTAGCAGAGAAAAGGTTAAAAAAAAAAAAACGAAATTGTGAAACCCCTATTTTACTACTGCTTTGTACTTAGTGGCTTATTTACAAGGAACTGTACTCCTGAAAAGAGATTCTGCAAAACCTTGCTAAGAAGTGTAGTTAGAAATTAAAAAAAAAAAAAAAAAAAAAAAACCACCACATGCTCAGATATTCCTACATACCACAACAGTGTTTTCCACTTGTGGCTTTATCACCATGGCTTAACCCTCTGCCTGTCTTCGGGGACTGCAGAAGCAAGAAGCCTGAGTATTCTGCCACAGACCAGGAGTCAGACCCCGGGCTGGGTGGGGCTCTTCCTCAGCCCGGGCACAGCCTCCTCCGTTTTGTTGAGCATTCTCTCTGCGTCTTCAGCGTGTAAAAGAACATGTGTACTTTAAAACCACTGCCTCCAAGCTGCCCTTTTGTTCAAGGTTTTCTTTGAAAGGCTGGCTCCCCCCACACAAGGAGGAAGCTGCTGATCACCCAAGAACACACGGATGGTGACGGAGTTAGAAACCCTGAAGATGTTAAGTATAAGCAGCATCTGCTGGCACACTGTAAACCAAGCCAGAGTGACTGTGTGCTCAGCCTGGGCAGCACAGGTGGCAGGTGGTACCACTCCTGGTCCCCAGCCCTTCCACCAGCCATCCTCAGAGTAACCTTGACCAGCTGTTCCATCTGCCAAGAAAGAGTCTTGGCTGGGAGAAATACTCAGGAACTGGTCGGCATTTTTCTTGCCTTTCTAATATAACCCTTACATACCATAAAATGCCCACTTAATCCTCTCCCTATTTATGGTTTCAAATCTCTTAGTTGTCGAACAATCAGTAGGCAAAAAATAAATTGCTTTGACACTAATGATGTTTACGATGACTATTTTTAAATCCCCCCTTACAAAAGGAGAGAAAGAAAATGAAAATTGTATTGGTGATGAGTTTCCCAGACTCCTCACTGTGGTCCTACTGTAGAGTCCCTCCCTGGCAAGGGTCTACTTTGAAATAAAAGTTTCAAGCCATATTAACTAATGGATGAAATAACTGCTATTTTTAGAGAATAACAGCTAGTTCAAAATGTAAGTTTAATTAAAAGATGGTTAAATACATTTGAATCCAACATAATATTGGCTTTAATGATGTAGGATTAAAGGGCTTTAGCAGTTCCATGATAAAATAAATTGTAAACTGCATTCAGAGTCCTCCTCTGTGGGTTTTCTTATTATGGAATGCATTTAAAAATAAAGAAAGAATACCAGATTAGCACATATACATTATACACATATACATTTAAAAATAAAGAAAACAGATTAGCACATATTATAATTCACATTATAACGAGAAAAACCATGGAAGCAAGTTATAAAACTTATTTCTCTCTCTTTTCAGAATGTACCACAGGTCAACAACACTTGTGCTCTGCACATCTGTAAAATGTCTGACTGCTTCTAAAGAGCTCTGTCCGTAGGAAAACGGACTCATTTTGAGCATTTCCTGCCAATCGATTGAAGTGCTTGTTGTTGTTTAATAACGATTCTTAAAATATGCAAACAAGATTTCAACCCCATGTGTGAAGGACTCGTTTTTATTTGTATTCAGGACTATCTTAGGACTTTCCTGCTTCTCTGTACTTTCACGGAATGCTGCTCACTCCACACTTGGATCACACAATTGTGGCTTAGGCTGGAAGGAAGAACAGTTGAGATAATCCTGTTACTGGTACTCTATACAAACCCCAGCAGAAATCAGAAGTGGTGATTCTAATTTATTTGCCCAAAGTAAGAAATCTGAATTGTATCAAAACTCTTCTCCCTCCCCATTGTTGTTTTCCCGGTGTCTTTTAGTCAGAAGTCCCATTTCTCAGGAAGCTTTGCTGTCGACCAGCTTCCCACCTTCCTTGGACTGTTCACAGGGCCACATGGTCAGAATGCTGTTTCACAGTTTTCTTCTTCGATTTTGAAGGAATGTAAGTGGAAGATCATTTTACTTTGACAAGAATATCTTCATTGCGTTGAGGTGACTGTCACTTAAAATTACATGAAACAAAATGACTTGTGACTTGACAGAAAGTGCTTAGCTGTTGTGTGCCGCTGACGCAACTGAGAAGCAGTTGTCATTCGCCATCCTGCCAACGGGGAGAAGACGAGATCACCTGCAGAAACCTTCCAAACTCCTGTGCATCTGGAAGTGAACCCCAATATCTAACACATAAAAAGCTAATGTGAATATGAAAATGCAAATCTATAAGGTAGATAGAGATTTATTTGAGTCTAGACTTTTGAGAAAAGCAAAACTAAGTGTTTCTCTGTGTTATATGCTATGGTTGGTTACCAAGAAAATGTGGGACATGTTCATTTGTAGAGAGATGCTTTAGTGGTGTAAATTAATTCTTTCCACACTGAACTCACATTAAATGATCCAGAAATCAACCTGATTCTTAAGCTTTTTCTCAGTAAACTGCCCCTCATATGTATGCCACAAAAAGAGAATATTATTTTAACATGTAGTTTAATTTTGTAAAATTTAAATTTACATACCAAGTAAATGTCTTTGTACATCATACAAGTTATACATTTTTTCTCTAAGGTGCTACATGCAGAAACTATTTCAAGGAATTAGCACTTTTTAATTTGTTGGGATTTTCCTTTTTAAAAATGTTAATACTTTTTATATGATAACTTTAAAATATTGGAAAACCACTTTTTAAAAGTCTAGCCCTTGTTTAGTTACTTCTAGATATGTATTTGTTTAATGCAGATGAAGTTTTAAAATGTTTGCTTCAGCAATTAATTTTTCAATATGGGGTCTGAAGAAGAACATTTCCACAATTAACTAAAAACAGATTTCAAGGCAGAAATCCTTGGCACTTTGTGAAAATGCTTAAAATCATAACTAGAATTTGAAGTGGTCCTCATTTCTCATCACTCATTAAGAAATTATTCACTTGAAGATCCTAGTTTTTGCCCTGCTCCTAACCTTAGCAGGCTTACAAAGAGTTCTGCGTGTACGTTGAGCCAAGTTGAATTCTGTGGGTGTTGATTCGGTGGCTGCGCTATCCGCAGCCTGACTCGCGGAGCCTCATTACAGATACCTATTACATTCCTTCCTCGCCTGTAATGAGGCTCCTTGCTGCAGCCCCGTCTTCCGCGCTGCGCGTTCAGTTTGGAAGTCCAGCAGGCTTTATGAGCTGCCGGCTCTAACTTCTCTTCCCCTTCAAATGGCTTAGCCAGTTAAGAAAATGCTAATTGAATGCTGCTAATAATTTTTTAAAGGCATGTATAAATTACCTGGAAATAATGGCCTCGTGGAGCAGCAGACCAACCTCAAAATATATTTTTCCTTTTTTTTTTTTTTTTCCAGGAGAGGAACAATGTTTTCTTATAGCATATTTTTTTAAAATCATTCTGCTGAACTCAGTGCTGAATTATTTGTCCAAAAACCTAAAGGAAATGATTTAGAGAGTTTTAGCAAATACCCATATGATGTTAGAACTGTGAATTATTTCCTGGGACAGACACGAGGGTGTTTTGTTCTCACAGTCAACTGTGCATCTTGAACAAAGAGCTGATTTGCAGCCGTCACTCCAAGTTGACAAAAAAGCAGCTAGGAATCCGTGATACTCAGGCTGCCACACAGAACCATGCAGTGCCTGGGCATCACTACCCACTGAGACACCCAGAGGCAGCAGCCAGAGCGGGAGTGTGTCGATTCCCTCGGTCCTGAAAGGCCTTTATTTGATCAGGTGTGAATTAGAGTTGTTCATTAAATACGGTTGTTATTCGGCACAAGAGGGTAAGGGGAGACAGAGGAAGTAGCTGCCTACAACAGTAATTAAACATGTGTAACCAATTAGAGGGCTTTCCACCACCGCACAAGCATATAATTTGCTAAGTCTTTCTATGAGAATAGATGAAAATAGGTACAAAAAGTGTGTCTGACTACAGCATTCTCATGTTGAACATGTCAACGTAAATGAACTTTAAATACATAATTTCTAGTTTGTTAACAAATGGCTAAACTCTATTGGCTAATCACAATAACATGTAATTTTAGTTCATTTTGCCAAGAAATATTGCATCTGACAGCCAATTAATTGTATTAAACATGATTCATTTTAGGGCTAGCCTATATTGATATTCATTTGGCAAATCCTAAAGTATAGAAATGTGCCCCTTCTGTAAGGGAAGTACCAGGGACAGAAGATGCCAGTGGCCGGGCCAATCCAGCTCTTGAGCCAGGGGAGACTGTTCTTCTGAGCAGAAATGTAAGAAATGCTTATATTTTCTTTGTTACATTTACAAATGAAAGTATTTAGGTGACGTTTCCTACATGAAATAAATGCCTATTGATTCAAAAGGTTGTATAGAATCACATAAAGTCTGTGCGTCTCAGCCCTGTATAAAGATAATAAATCCACACAGGGCCACCACACCAGCATGCCTGGCTCCGCCGTCCGGCTGATGTGCTGGAAAGGTTGCGGATGAGTCTAGCAGCGTTAAGTGAACTGGCAAAGGCATCTCTAATTTTGCTGGAAATGAGGAAGCACGATGGTAAAGGGGAATCCTAATGAGCCCATCGAAAGCTGGCTTTGTACCAACAGACAGGGTAGCTGCGGATTGTATGAAAATATTGGAAATCAATGGCTTCTATGGAATTTCATTAAGAAGCAGTATCCACAATTGATAGAGCCTCATAATTTGATGGATTGTGCTAAGAAAATGATTAGCTAGCTAGAAAGAGTCATAGAACACACACGCTGGGCCGTCAGAAATGTTGAAGTGGGGTAATTTGTACAAAATAAAAATTATTGATTTTACTTGTCTGCAAAATTTTGAAATGGAGGGCTGTCCGGCGAGCCCGCTGATGTAATCTCTCGGTTTCCTAGGCGTCCCTGGGGAAGGCGCCGACGACGTGGACAGCGGGACTGAGAGCAGGAGCGGCGGCGAGGAGGCCAGCGTGTGCCAGACCTGCTGCGCGGAGTTCTTCAAGTGGACAGACTTCCTGCAGCACCAGAAGAGCTGCACCAAGAACCCACCGGTGCTCATCGTGAGTGAGGATGAGCCGGCRCCGCCCTCTGAAGAGTTCCCAGAGCCTTCTCCCGCCAGCTCACCCAGCGACCACACGGAGAGCGAGGCCACCGAGGAGGCCACCCCCGCAGAGGGCGGTGAGGGCAGCGAGGTGAAGGCCCCAGAGCCGGAGGACGAGCCCATGGACGTGGAGACACCCGGGGACAAGGGCCTTCAGGGCCCAGGCACACCCGCTGTGCCCCCAGTGCTGCCCCCAGGGTCCCCTGCTGCCTTCAGCATGCCCAGCACCAACGTGACGCTGGAGACTCTGCTGAGTACCAAGGTGGCTGTGGCTCAGTTCTCGCAGGGCGCACGCGCAGCTGGCACAGCCGGAGGCAGTGTGGGCGCGGTCGCCATCCCCATGATCCTGGAGCAGCTCGTGGCTCTGCAGCAGCAGCAGATCCACCAGCTGCAGCTCATTGAGCAGATCCGCAGCCAGGTGGCCCTGATGAGCCGCCAGCCCACGAGGCCGCCACTGAACCCCACCACCCCTGGCACTCCTGCCCAGACCTCCGGCCAGCTCCAGGGCCTGGCCCCCCACCCGGCCCTACAACTCTCTTCTGGGCCAGCCCCTGTCCCTGCAGGCTCTGGCCAGGCAGCCCCACCTGCCTTCGAGGGCCCCCAGCACTTGTCACAGCCAGCGTCAGGTGCCAGCACTCCAGGTGGTACTGGGCCCATGGAGTCCGTGGTGTCTGCAGCCCCAAGCACAGCCCCTGCCCTGGGGTCCACGGTGCCCAGCACAGCGGGTAGCATGACACAGCCGCAGAATGCATCCACGCCCCCGGCCCTGGGCCCGGCCCCCCTCCTCAGCTCGGCCTCCAGCCTGCCAAACCCTCTGCTACCTCAGACCTCCTCCAGCAGCGTCATCTTCCCCAACCCGCTGGTCAGCATTGCCGCCACCGCCAACGCCCTGGACCCACTGTCCGCCCTCATGAAGCACCGCAAAGGCAAGCCCCCAAATGTGTCGGTGTTCGAGCCCAAGGCTAGCGCTGAGGATCCCTTCTTCAAGCACAAGTGCAGGTTCTGTGCCAAGGTCTTTGGCAGCGACAGTGCATTGCAGATACACCTGCGCTCTCACACTGGCGAGCGGCCCTTCAAGTGCAACATCTGCGGGAACCGCTTCTCCACCAAAGGCAACCTGAAGGTGCACTTCCAGAGGCATAAGGAGAAGTACCCCCACATCCAGATGAACCCCTATCCAGTTCCAGAGTATCTCGACAATGTGCCCACTTGCTCGGGGATTCCCTATGGCATGTCACTACCCCCAGAGAAGCCAGTAACCACCTGGCTCGATAGCAAGCCAGTGCTGCCCACAGTGCCCACATCAGTGGGACTGCAGCTGCCCCCCACAGTCCCCAGTGCTCATAGCTACACCGATTCCCCCAGCGTCACCCCCGTCAGCCGCTCCCCGCAGAGGCCCTCTCCCGCATCCAGCGAATGCACCTCCTTGTCCCCGGGCCTCAACAATGCAGAGTCCAGCATCCCAGTGACATCTGAGTCCCCACAGCCACTCCTCAGCGGCTCTTCTCTGACTAAAACTGAGCCTGTCAGCCTGCCGTGCACAAAYGCAAGGACAGGGGACACCCCAGTTGGTGGGCAGGCGGGTGCAGGGCCCACCTCAGCGGCCACGGCCGTCACGGACAGCGCCTCGGCGAGCCTCAGCAGTCCTGGTCTCCCAGCAGTCTCTGACCAGTTCAAGGCCCAGTTTCCCTTTGGGGGACTGCTCGACTCTATGCAAACGTCAGAAACCTCGAAACTGCAGCAGTTGGTGGAGAACATTGATAAGAAGATGACAGACCCAAATCAGTGTGTCATCTGCCACCGCGTGCTGAGCTGCCAGAGTGCCCTGAAGATGCACTACAGGACGCACACCGGGGAGCGGCCCTTCAAGTGCAAGATCTGCGGGCGGGCCTTCACCACCAAGGGCAACCTCAAGACTCACTTTGGGGTGCACCGGGCGAAGCCACCCCTGCGGGTGCAGCACTCCTGCCCCATCTGTCAGAAGAAGTTCACAAACGCAGTGGTGCTCCAGCAGCACATCCGCATGCACATGGGAGGACAGATCCCCAACACGCCACTGCCAGAGGGCTTCCAGGACGCCATGGACGCAGAGCTGCCCTTTGAGGAGAAGACCGCGGAGACCCTGAGCAGCTATGACGATGACATCGATGACAACTCCATGGAGGAAGACGCGGAGCTGAAGGACTCAGCCAGCGACTCCAAGCCGCTCCTGACCTACGCGGGGTCCTGCCCTCCCTCGCCACCCTCCGTCATCTCCAGCATCGCTGCCTTGGAGAACCAGATGAAGATGATGGACTCTGTCATGAACTGTCCGCAGCTCACTGGCTTGAAGTCCGTGGAAAACGGGTCTGGGGAGAGTGACCGCCTGAGCAACGACTCGTCCTCTGCTGTGGGCGACCTGGAGAGCCGCAGTGCGGGCAGCCCTGCTCTGTCCTCCTCCTCCTCCTCCCAGGCACTGTCACCCACCCATAGCCACGGGGAGAGCTTCCGTTCCAAGTCCCCGGGCCTCAGCCACCAGGAGGACCCACAGGAGATCCCGCTAAAGACCGAGAGGCCAGACAGCCCACCCCCCGGCCCAGGAAATGGAGGCGCCCTAGACCTGACTGCCGGCCACCCCAGTCGGCCGGTCATCAAGGAGGAGGCTCCCTTCAGCCTGCTGTTCCTGAGCAGGGAGCGGGGTAAGTGTGCCAGCACTTGTACCAGCACTGTGTGTGGTGTCTGTGGCAAGCCCTTTGCTTGCAAGAGCGCGTTGGAAATCCACCACCGCAGCCATACCAAGGAACGGCCCTTTGTCTGCACCGTCTGCAGGCGGGGCTGTTCCACCCTGGGTAATTTAAAACAGCACTTACTGACCCACGAATTGAGAGGGCTGCCTTCTCAGGCGTTTGACCCCAACTTTGCTCTAGGTCCCAGCCACAGCTCTCCTCGCCTGGCCTCCAGCCCTGCACCCACCATGATCAAAATGGAAGTGAACGGTCACAGCAAAGCCATCGCACTGGGCGAGGGCCCGCCGCTGCCAGCTGGGGTCCCGGTCCCCACTGGGCCACAGACAGTGATGAGCCCAGGCCTGGCGCCCCTGCTGGCACCCCYGCCACGCCGGACACCTAAGCAGCACAACTGCCAGTCCTGCGGGAAGACCTTCTCCTCGGCCAGCGCCCTGCAGATCCACGAGCGCACCCACACTGGGGAGAAGCCCTTTGGCTGCACCATCTGCGGCAGGGCCTTCACCACCAAGGGCAACCTCAAGGTAAGAGGGCCACAGGCTAGAGGCTCGCAGGACCATGAGGGAACCAGGGCAGCTCCCTGCACCACCGACCCTGGCGTGATGGCAGAGATTCTCCTGGCCTGGGCCCTGAGGATGCGGTGCCAGGGCTGTGTGGGTGTGGTGCACGTGTGGGGGGGGGGATGCGTGTGTCCACATGCACACACAGGTGCACATCCTGCTAGCTACTCGGGGACCAACAGGAGCCTGGGTCCGTCCAGCGGCGTGGGCACCTGCCTTTGAGGCTCAGCCTGCTCTGGGGCTTAGGAGGATGGTGTGCACTTGGCAACCCAGGGGGCAGGGCCAGGGCTCAAGGCGCTCTTGAATTTGATAACAAAATAAACTTGAATTTTAAGCTCTGGCGTATCATAGGGATAAAACAGATGAGATTTGCTGTGCAACTTGTAGAAGGGTCTGTGTCCCTGTGACTGCAAGGGCCTGTGGGAGGGGTGCTGGGTGAGCAGGCTTCCAGCATGTGCGGGCCATTGTGTGTCCCCACTGAAGACTGCAGTAGCCARGTGTGGGGAGCACATCCTTTTAACCCCAGCAACTCATGAGGATAAGGCAGGAGGATCACAAGTTCAGGCCCTCCTGGGCAACATAGTGAGACCTGTCTCAAAAGGAGAAGGCAGCAGTGCTGGAGATAGAGCTCAGTAAAGTGCCCCTGGGCTCGATCCTCAGTGCCCCCCCCCAAAAAAAAAACCTACAGTCACATGCATCTCCTTCGGGAGACGGCTGTGGACCATGTGCTGCCGGTTCCCAGGCCCGACTCTGTGCCGGCTCAGGCTTCCATTTGTAAGGTGTGTCTACAGAGACTGGGTCTGAGAGCCTCCTCAGAGACAGTCAGAGGTCAGCGGGTGTGGCCTCTACACTGGGCAAGCGTTGAGAGACAAGAGCCACCCAGAACGGATGGCGCTAGGAGGTTTTAGAATCCAGGCCTCCTTGTTCGAGAGGAGAGAGGCACAAAGGAAGGGTTCAAGTACAAGGCGGTTTGAGTAGCGGTGGGTGGGAGCTTTTATCCTACAGTTCTGGAACGCTCTCTGTGGCCTGTGGGTTCACGTGGGGGCAGAGATGTCTGTCGGGTTTGTTAACTAAAGAACACATCCTCATGCTGTGGTTCTGTTTTCTCACTGCAACCTGATACTTGGAAGCCCCTGTAAGGTGGTCAGGAAAGCTGGCCTGCTTTGCCGTCCCTGGCTGATGTGTGGGACGGGCATCATGTGGAGCAGTGGAGGCAGGACACACCTGCTCGCCACCCGGGACGTGCTCACTGTGCTTGTCTCTCCATGTCCCACGCAGGTACACATGGGGACCCACATGTGGAACAACGCTCCTGCGAGGCGTGGCCGCCGCCTGTCAGTGGAAAACCCCATGGCCCTGCTCGGGGGCGATGCCCTGAAGTTCTCTGAAATGTTCCAGAAGGACCTGGCAGCCCGAGCCATGAATGTGGACCCCAGCTTTTGGAACCAGTATGCTGCAGCCATCACCAACGGGCTGGCCATGAAGAACAACGAGATTTCTGTCATCCAGAACGGAGGCATCCCCCAGCTCCCCGTAAGTCTAGGTGGAAGTGCTCTTCCACCTTTGGGCACCATGACCGGTGGCATGGACAAAGCACGCACTGGCAGCAGCCCACCCAGCGTCAGTTTGGACAAAGCAAGCTCTGAGACAGGCGCCAGCCGCCCGTTCACCAGGTTCATTGAGGACAACAAGGAAATTGGTATAAACTAGCTGAGGGCATCGATGGCCAGCTGTCCTTCCACGCCCTCGTTCTGCAGTGTGAGCATCAGTCTTCGGACCCTTCTTGCCTAGGTCCTCATTAAGTCATGCCGGTGGCAGAACGTACTTTGCCCATGTGGCTGCCAGWAGGTGGTCTGGTAAGCGCTGCCTAGTCCTCCCTCTGCAGTGGGTTCGACTGTTCTTAAGAACTCTGCGACCTTTTGAATAAATTTCTAAATTCAGTTGAAAAACAGAAGTGCTTGGAAAACCACCTTAGAAACAGAAAGAGCTCAGACCATATCCATTTGTTTCTCTTGAAACCTAATAACCCTGGAAGGGAGAATGGGGTCCCCTGCATTATTCCAGTGAACCCCATGGATGGTTTTGTTCGAATTAATAGAAACTTGAACTGTTTTAGGAGCTCTTTGTCTTGCAGAGGTGGTTCTGTATTCCCAATGCCGTGTATGATGACAGTATCTTTGTCCGTAGTATTTATAATGTTAAGATTATGCGGGTAACAGACAATAAAATAGCCCCAACCTTAAATGAAGCTTTTGTACTGCAGAATACATCTGGCTGTGTGATTTTTTTTTTAAGCAAAATTTGTTTTACTATAAATAAGTGGATTATTTCAATGCAGGCAAACTTGTGGCGTTCTCTTGGGAAAGATAGCATGCTTTTTGTGTGCAAGTACCTGTTGGTAACAAGCCCCCCCACCTTTTTTGTTTTTTTAATTTAAATGTTTGTAGCTGCTATGTGGACAGTTGTTCTCTAGTGTGGTCTGTAGCCCAGTGATTGATCGGGGAACAATTTACAGACAAACATCACCATAAATTATTATTCACAACATTATAAATAGTTGTGAGTAAATATTTTACGTTATCAAAGCTGTACAATAAAAAGGTAATGTTTGTATAATGTGGTTGCAAACTCTTAATTTATACAATTGCACTTTTAGTATTTTGTATTAGGGAGGTTTGTCTATAATTCGAAAATTTAAAAAGATGTAAAGTATTTTATAAATAGTTCTACGGTCGAGGAAAAATGAAAACAGTGGCTGTGGTTTCTCATTTTGTCTCAAGGTCAAGCAGCGTGAGAAACCTGTGCTCGTAAGCAGGACCTCACCAAGACCTTGCACACCTCACTAACCCAGGCCTGCCGTTTCCTACATCCACCAGGTTCATTTCACTTCTCTGCCAAGCCCTTGTCAGAGCTGTGACCACCCTAAAGAAGCTGGCGAGTTAGTCTTAGGCCTGTGGCGTCCGCCCAGGAGATGAGCGGGAGAGCATTGCGCCGTGTGGCTCTGCTGTGAGCCCCTGTCCCTCTCTGGTTCCTTGACTGCCTGGTGGCACTGGCTGTCGCATAGGGTGATCAAGAGATGGCAGGTCTCTGGCAGTGTTGGCAAGCAGGACTGAGATTTTCTGAGCTCCTGATTTGTTCATTCTCTGAGTTCCTCTGTAGACTCAGGATGCAGCCTGAAGCTGGTCACCATCTGGGCTGCGCCCAGTGGGAGWGGGTGGCGGTTCTAGCCCAAGCGCCCGTGTTGTGTGACTACCTCATTTCTGTGCGTGGCCTGCATGCTGGGACCTGGCACAATGACTTCCGAGGACAGGAGAGCTCAGGAGGTCTGAGGGTGGCTGGGGCACGGCCGAGGAACCAACCAGACAGCGAGTCTTCTCAGTTGAACAGGAAAAATAGAAAAGCCTGACACCGTCACGCAGCAGAAGGCACTGCGGAAGACRGGCGGCTTCTCCGCCGTCACCCGGCACTGAGCTGCACACAGGCCCATGAGCTGTCCCTGTGTCTGGAAGGGAACGCTGGACCCTCGGAGTGCTTCCCACAGGGCGAGGTGTGGCGGTGTCTGGGCGTGGGGAGGGCTTGGTGCAGCTGCTTCTGCAGTCGGGGGTTCTGAGTTCATGTGTCCTTCCAGTCGATTTGGTACCATGTCCGTATCCTTCCCCCAAAAAAGATGTGTATATATCTGAAGGAAAGAGAAATGTCAGCGTGAATGGCTTGTCAGGGAGCCATAGCCTGACCCCTGTGCCCGGCGGGCTGACCCTAGCTGGTGCAGAGACCCTATTTTTATATTGCAGCACCATCAGGGCCAAGGCCTCCCGGGACTACCTGGGATGATGACCTAGATCTGATATTTTTTATGATTAAATCTTGTGGCTTGAACATCTCCTGATTGAAATGGATGTCTTAGTCTAGGTTACTATTTTTGTCATATGGAACTGAATAAAATGCAGGATGTAACATTATTTCTGAATTGCGTTCCTTGATTCTTCTCATGAAAAAGTGGCATTTGAGGTGACGATCGCTCGCGGTGTTTCCCTGGTGTTTCTAAGAGGAAAGTCAGCAAGGGTTGATGGCTTAGACGAAAGTAARATCTAAACATATTTTGACTGGTTTAGATTTTGTTTCATTTTCCAAAATAAAAGTGTGTTCTCCTAACTGGATCTTTGTTCGAATCTACCGTGGAAGAAGACGTAGCAGAAACGGGACAACCTATTAGGTCTCGGCACTGCCCACAGCGAATGCACTGGAATTGCCYCCTGCCACAGCATTTGTGAAACACCGGCCGCAGGTCGCCTGACCCAGCAGGTGCCCCTCAGAGCACGTGACAGGAGGTGTGTGAGCAGGGGCAGGGCAGCGCCTGGGGCAGCCGTAGCCGGGAGTCCTCTGGCCCGGCCCTCTGTCATCTCGCTCCAAGTCCTTTATTTTAAAGTAAGCTTTGTTCTCACAGATAATGGTCGGTCAGACTCACAGCTTTAAATAATTTAATAGATCCTGGGTTTTATGGTATGTGATCCATTTTTTCTTTAAAAAAATTTTTTTAAATAAATGACAACTCATAGCTGGAAGCCACAGTACTTTCTGCCTGGGGTGTGCTGGGTGGTTCTTTTAGGAATGAGAWCAGTACCAACTGCTGAGTTAGCTGACCCAGACCCATCTTTGGCAGACTTAATAAGCCTTAGAAATCAACCCATGTTGATTTTCAATGCAGGACTAGAAATTATCAACGTAAACTAACTAAATCAGATAGTAACTAAATTTTTAAAATAAGGAAATAGCAAAGATTCTATAGCCGTTTAGAATAATTAAAATACAGTAAAATGCAGGAGAAAGGGGGTTTACTTCTTGTATTTAAAAATATCCTCAGAGGTGTGTGGGTTTAGCACAACTGGGGACCCGTTTCCAATGCCAACTCTAGTCACTCAAACTCTGGTCAAATAATCATAAATGGCAACAAACCATAAAAATTATCTATATTCCTAAGTTCACTACAGAGACTTCTAAAATGAGGTCAACAGCAGCGTCAAAGGGCTGATCAGCAACTGCATGTAGACTCTGGACCGTGGAGCTTCCGCCAGGGGAGCCTGGAGGCAAGCGTGCCCCGCCCTCTGCACGTGGCCATGCCCATCTGTTTCACAAAGCTGCGGCAGACTGGGTTGCGTGTGTGTCTGCAGCCAGCCACCCCAGCTCATCGCACGCATCCTGGCACACACAGCAGAGCTGATGCTTGCTCCATGACCCTTCTCGGGCTGTTCCCATCACACACCCTGACCTGGAGCCTGTGCTGGCCTGCTCATCCTGGCCCTCAGATCCCCAGCGAGCATCCGTTGGTCCTCTGGAAGGCCTCCCATCCCAGAGCTTCCTAGAGAGGAGGGTGTGTCGGAGGGTCAGTTTGCTCATGATCGGCAGTGTTAGCGGTGATCCACAGGATAACCTACTGAGAGTAGGAAAACATTCTTCCACTTTTCACTTAAAAGGGAAATATGGGATATTCTTAACATTCTTTATAAATGGTAGACTTTAAAACAAAATCTCAGTAGAGGTGTTTCCCAGTGTTTCGTGCTAGGTGGGCAGCTCGGGTGGACCTGGCCTCCCTGTGTTGCTCCATGGCCATGCCCCGCAGATGCCTGGCAGGGCACTGGGGTGTCGGCACCGTCCCACGTGGCTTCCCTACCTAACAAGTGGCAGAGTTTGAGGATTCTCAAGTCTTTTCCACTTTGAAAATCCCTGTTTCTAAAAAATAACTACACTAATGTACACCTTTTTCCCTAAAAAATACTCTAGACAGAATAACGGCAGTATTTATATAGAGAGAGTAAATATGGTTACCTAAGAATATTATTTCATAAAATGAAAAGTCTATTATAAAAACTGCTCTATAAACTACATGGAATCATTTTGGGACCATGAAAAATGTGTTTGTATCTTTGATTTTTAAAAAATTGGACTTTACTGATTTTTTCAAGTGCCGTTGCACTGAAGGTAAAATAAAACTGAACTCTGTGAACATTCTGCTTGCTGCATTTTTATTAGAATGAATTAGAAATTTTCATTAGAAAATGGTGTGATTTTTTTCATTGCACTGCATACACGCACACACCCAGCTTCTGGTCAGCATGGTGACCATCTTCAGAGTGCCCGGCCACAGTGACGGTCGTGGCTTCTGTGGCTTGTCAGCCTCAGCGTCTCGGGTGTCAGGTGCTGGCCTACAGCCCGCACGCCTGGCCTGCCGCCCTGCGGGGGGGTCTCAGCTTGCACTGCAGGCCAGCGCCTCCGACTCACCCCTGGGCCTCACGGGGCAGTCAGTGGGCACGGGAGCAAACTGGTGGGAAATGAGGACATTGGTGCGACAGAAAGAAGAGGTGCCGGTGTCTGTGTTTGTCACCAAGGATGGAACTGGACGGCTCACAGGTCGCACCTGTGGAATGAGCGATGGAGAACCTGTTCCTATTGAGTTAATTGCTGTATATGATTAAATGTGGAAATAAACGTTTAATTCCAGTAGTTCCAAATGTGATGATTCGTGAACGTAGGAATTCTGTCACCCACACACATTCCTGAATTCTAGAATGATCTATAAATGAGGATTCTTAGRGAGAAGCATGAGTCACGGCTTCACTCCTCCTTCGTGGCCTTTCCGGTACTCACTGACTCCACTTGTGCTCTTTCTAGCTTGACTTAAAGGAACCTGACTTTTAATGCCAACAGCCTGGCTC